CTATACTCGTGCAAAGTGACACATACATGGGAGGTCTAAATCAACACGCGTGGGACAATACCTATTTTTCACTCTAGACATTTTATGAGGTCGTATTGACTGTATAGTCCGATATGTGCAGGTCACTGGTTTTACTATACACTCCGCGTGATCTTATACGACTAGCTCGCACGTGTACCTAACGTTTTCTGGATGTCGTTGATATTCTGCCGTTATGTGTTACACGCATGCGAATCACTAGATCAATACTACTGCTGGCCTTGTGTCTGTAGATCGATGTATACACCATCACTACACGTCCACTTTTAAACTCACTATGAATAGGCACGTCAGAAACTGGGTGAGGTTTGAGTATCACAATCAACTAATCCTTAGGTACGAATTGTTCCGTGCATAAATATGTACCATAAAGCTCAGTTGTCAATATGTATAAACGTCATGCCAATAGTGGTTTGCTTGTACAACCATGATCGCTAATTTTGAAGTATGGCTGCTATCCCGAATTACGCCGTATTGGATTACTTCTCATCTAATTTGCTCCCATCGCTCTTTCCTTTCGACTTCTACATTAGTCCTGAAAGCGGTCGAACAGGCCAGGCTATGTCATCCGAAGCGAGGACCACAGTACTTCAAAGAAATAAGTAAGTAAGATTCAGTCTATTGAAGAACAAGATGGGATTAAGATATTCCGTGCAAATCTAGTTATTCACCCACTTCGCGATTCTCTCACTCCTTATACTCGGACCGAATAGCGAGTATACAGGCGTACCCTGATTGTAGCTTGGGAGAATGTTATTTGTGCCTACCATATAATGTATTGTATTTTCCTTCGCCGCCATATGACTGTTGGTCTTAAGGCTCCACAAACAGGCTAAAATATATCGATTAGCCTTTGTAGATTATAAACATAAATATCTACCTTTTGATCGATGGTGTTTCTTAAACCGTACAGAAAAAGCATGTGACAAGTACATGCCACTCGGAGACAGCGGCGCACGGAATGCGGCAGATGTGTACGAAGAGAGACGAAAGGACCATTTGTCGCATTTTGTCTTGCGACTGGCGTATTGTCGTAGTGAAGAATTGCGCCGCTGGTTTCTGCAACAAGAAGTGGAGCTGTTCAGGTTTGTCTATGTACTCACACAAGATGATGTATTTAGAGTCCAGTTGTGAGATGTTTTGCGATATGCTGTATGTCTTGTGTCATTCTGTACACTTTGCTACTTTTCGCACGTCTATGCAACCTTGTGGACTTGAACTGTTGACCTGCGAAGAGGACTTCTTCTGCATTCAGAGTTGGTTCCGAGGCACCGACGGTATGATATCTTTGCAGCAGCTCAAGCGTGTTTATTCTATCGTCTCGAATAACAGGTGCCGATTCGAGAACGAAAGCATCAACGATTTTCTAAACGCCATACAAAATCTCAAATACGACAAGGTAAATGCATTGTTGTTTGGTGTCTGTGCGTGCAGTATCAGCCACCACCTGTAAGGATATTGAGCCAGCTAGATAAGTGCTTACTAGACCTAGTCAGAACAATACCGTACCTTTCTCGTATTTTTATTTCATCGCGATCGCTTTCATCTATCCACGTATTCGTTTATACGACCTGAAATATCAATAGATGCACACCGATAGATAGGTCTGTATACTCACGGAACATACCGTGTTTTCCATTCGCAGATGTCCGACGAAGAGAAGCGCGAATTGGAGTCCCAATTGAAGGACTGCGGTTTCAATCTGAGCATAGAAACAGTGCGGGAAACTGCTTACTATAAGGTAAGTGAAACTTCTATGTGATTCGCGACTCTGTTCCTTGAATTCGGTTAGACACTACTTTCTCCATATGGTGTAATTACAACGGCAAATACGCGCATAAGCCCAATGATATGTTGTTGCGATATTCGACTGTAATTCGCCTCTCTGATAAAGTTCAGGTTTGTGTTTGTGTATAGGAAGATTGCACCGTGTGTTTTTGTGTGGGATTATGGAAAGTCAATATCAACGTCCACTCGTGCTTACTTCAGTAAATTGATGTGTAACGACTGCAATACGACTCCTGATTGTCGCAATTGGCTGTTTATGAATTGGAAGTTCGTATCGACAGTGAATCCTATATATTTATACACACAAGCTATTACTTTCGGCACAAGCATGTGAACATCCTCAGATAAAACACGCGGACACAAATCATGCAATATATCAATAACTTCAGCTAAAGAATGCAAACATTTGCCTTACAAAGAACTAACCGATATTTTAATTCTGCTTGGCCCACGTACAATATTTTTACTTTCACAACGCATGGCTATTTTACTAATGTCTTTCCTTTCCCAACATAGTTACCATTCAAGCGGGCTTTGGAGCTCGTTAGGCAGAGGAAAGTGCTGCTGAAGGGCGGTATGGCCTATGTGCCAGAACAAGAGCTTTTGTCAATTATCTGCTCTTCGTTCCGACAACGCCTCTCGCTAGCCCTCACGGTATGTCACACTAGCGCTGTCGCCTACTCACAAATGTTGGTCGTGTATTAATGTTTTGATCTAGTGTAATACTCCGTTTTCGCCTATTTTAAGAGGATTAGGATCTGATTTGTATATTATATCTCGATAGCGTATCTGAAAAATACATCATTGTGATAGACCATGTTGCAGGGTGTAGTGCCCATTGGATACGTCAGTGATACTAAGATTGTGATTTTTCAATATCTACTAGGTTACATAAGACCGAAAAGGTGTCCTTGTCGCTACTGGAATCACACCCTAAATACTTTTCATTGGTCTATTTGACCATCCCCTTGTATTCCACAGCACGCGTGTAAAGCCCTCCCCGCATTAGAAGAAGATGAGAGACTTGATCCCATCCTACGCACCATGAGCAAGAACGATCTGGCGGACGAGCAGCAACTGCAGAATCGCACCGGGGTGGTACACCCCTCAGACCTCGACGAGGTGAGTTTTATATGTCTTTCATAATATTTTTACATTTAGATTGATGCCGAATGTGATTTCGAGGACGATGCACTTGCACGAGCCCATATGAACCCCAACTTAACTTGATCCGTTCCAGTTATCGAATACGGTGATGCCTCTATGTATGAGGAATCTGCACGTGAACTTCAAGGCGGATCATCATCTGAAACACTGGGGTCGGCTTCAGTATGGTCTGTTCCTCAAGGTAGTCTCGATCTTAGATTTTAGGAATGCGCTCAAGAAAATAAGTGCTTTTTTTTTCTTCGTGAAATTATCGCAACGTGAGCGTATTTCTCACCGTCAGCTATAATGTTTTACACACAGGGCATTGGGGTCATGCTGGAGGATGCTATCAATTACTGGCGCTCGGAATTCACCCAGGTATGTCTGCTGTTCCCTCTACCTTCACGTACTATATGTGTATTAGGATGGTTACTATATTTGTGTTAGGATGGTGCGACCTGTGGTCCTAACAACTGGTCAAATATATCACATACAGAAAATGGCGATGGACAAGTTTGATCGCGAGCACGTGTATACGCTACGACACATGTACGGTAAAGAAGGCAAGCGCACCAATTACACGCCCTACTCTTGCGTCAAGATCATCACTGGGCAAGCCCCAGGCACTGGAGACCACCACGGCTGCCCTTTCAAACACTTCGACGGGAGCCACTTGGTGAAGGAACTTAAAAGCACGAAGGTTCCCAATCCAGCTATACAAGAGGTGTGGTGCATATTGTCTCGGGTCTTTGGAAGCTTGTCTGGCGTGCAGTGCTGCATGGTTGTCTTTACTACAGTTTAGAGATTCTTGAATTCGGTGCAATATGTTTTATACCGTGTTAACACCTTGTGCCGTTTACCACACTCGTGCGAGTCTTTTTAGACTGAGGTCCCTGCATCGGCTTCTAAAACACATTTGTATCTGACACGTATTTGCAATTCTCTTAGATCCTCAAGCTTGTTAAAGATCAGCACTTCCAAGTGGCCTGTTCGAGATACTTCGCCTACAAAATTGGACCTCTACCGGTAAGGATGGAACAGTCACCAGTTGTTTAATCAGATTTTATTTGTCGCGGGTTGGCTTTTGCTTAATTATTGCTACGGAGGAATATATATGCACCATAGCTGAATCTGATAACGTCTTTATTGAACAGGAAAATGTGGACGTTCCTCTTATCAACCATCCCAACGGATACTTCACGAAGGCTATAGAACTAAATAACTTTAAAGCAGGTATAGTTAATGCTGGTGCTTCTACTGTCAAATCAGAGAGCTTACCTATCAACGAATAAGTACCACCATTTAAATAAACCTACAGAAACATGCGAAATTGAAGACGAAGTCATACAGAAGAATCTTCAGTATTGTCTCGCACCGATGCGATGGTATCAGCCATAGCTAATACAGCATAGTCGCAAGTCGAGATAGTGTAACTGGACCTTAAGAGTGCCTGCATTGATGACATAGAATTTAACTGGCGGTCGGAATGCATTTTTGTGTCTTTTCTTACAGTACGACAAGTGGCTTACTCGACGTTCCAACGCCAAGATATTTTAAGTAGCACTTTTAATCGACAAGTTCACTGCACTCTACATTGTCGGATTGCTCCATCGGCGCTCTTACGCTGATCGCTTCTTTTTGCGTGCTTTGCCCGAGTCGCTTGCCGGCAGTACAAAGTCCGCATCGCGTTTCTGGGTGGGTGCCTTGCTCTGTGACTTTAACTTATCCACGATGGAAGAGACATTGGTCGGGCTTGTTGTCTTAGCCTGACCAGGCGGCGCAGTACTCTCCTCGGGAGCCACGAATGCCAGCTCCCGCTTGGCCTTCTTTGCTTCCAGGGCTTCGGATTGTTTAGCTTTTCTCTTTTCGAGTTTTTCCATCTCGCGCTAGAATTGAAAAACAATACAATTCTAGTCAGAATCGACAGTATGGAATCGATTTTGATAGAAGCAATTCAGGGAAATGACACTCCCCCACACAAAATGTGTAAATGACAAACTCTCAGTGCACTTATCCATTTGCCTAATGAAGCAGGAGATACAGAAAAAGATGCCATGTGTTGCCCACACGTTCCATATTGTAACCATCTCTATGAAGAATGAAGCATACCTGCTCCTCGCGCATGAAGTATTCTCCGCTTTCCAATTGCATATCGATCTTGCTTGGTTGTTGCTGAGGTGGATACGGCGTGTACTCCTTCTTTTTCTTACTAGTGGGAGCCTTCTTCTTTGGTTGGTTCTTCTTCTTGAATTGTGGTAGGAACCTGACATTAACGAAGTCAAAACAGACATCAGTACAGCATGGTACAGCACACTACATTGCAGTACAATGCAGTACATTGCGGTACATTGCAGTATAGTATAGTATAGTATAGTATAGTATAGTATAGTATAGTATAGTATAGTATAGTATAGTATAGTATAGTATAGTACAGTACGTACAAAACAGGTACAGCCCATCGGTCCACTACGAATGATTGTATTTTCATAAGCACCGAGCCGCGGCCTTGTGACAATTGAACAGGGCGACAAAGAACACCACTTGTCTCGTCGAGGGGTAAGCTTGTTTGTACTGTTTCTATCTTACCGTTCCCAGTTTTCCTCTGCCAGTTTGGGGTCTTTCTGGAGTTCGCGTTTGATCATCAGCGTCTTGATGTTGTATATGGGGTGGATATTGCGCATACAGTCTTCCACAATCTGACGCACCTGCTTGAGACCTTTGTGGGATCCTATGGCTGATACTGTATTTCCTTGCACCAGTACATAGCATTCTGTTAACAACTCAATCGCTTTGAGAGTCGACCCATCTGGACCCACCAACCTTTGCCTCCTTTTTATGAATCGCTCCTTGTTGCGTACGATATTTCCGATTTTAATCACATCACACGTCGAGTCATCCTGTTCATAATAAACAAGCATGTCATATTAGTGTGAATGCTGCAATGTAACAAATTACATCGAACTAGATGTCACTTGTTGTTCTTCACGTTACTATCAACCAACGGGTGCGTAGTGGAGACCTTTACGCACGCTAGTAAAAACCGTGTACATAGGGTTAAATACGGAAAGGTCTACAGGTAACGATTGGAACATTTCACTATACAGATTGCAAATGTTGCAACTCTGTTCGGCTTGTATGAAACATGACTTCTATTAATCACAAATATACCAAAACGGAATATGTAAGCAGACGACACAATAAAGGTAATGGTAC